GCTCAACAACACTGGCTCTGAATTCAATATTCCAGTCAATTAAAAAAAACATTTACCCACCTACAGCTTCAGCTGGAGATCTCAAGAGCACTTTGGTAGGATGAATACTGACCTGCTCAGTGTTACACAGGTTAAATACCGTTTTATAGGCACACAGCTCAGCCCTGTTTACATGAAAAATTCAACTGACCTTTGTGGCTCTGTAAAGCTACATTGTTACGGCACTCCTTGTGCAGGCCATTTATTTAAGTGGATCTCTTGTGCTCCGGTTGTACCAACCAGAGAAAGATACAGAAAAAGAATCTCCCCCCTAGAGCCTTAGATCTGCATAGATATCAGCCCTACAAGTACCCAGAATACAGTGAATGAAAACTCTGAGCCCTTGAGGAAGTGGGAACCACAGTGGAGGGCGGAGCATGGAAAAACCACACAAGCCATCAAGGCCACATGTTCCTGATAGCATTGACCCTTACAGACTTAAATTAAAAGACACAAATTTAGTATTTACCTAAATGCCCTCTTGGCTTTCTGCTGAACAACAGCAATGATAGAACTGTGGGGCTTACAATCTCCCCTCAGTTAACCTCCGGGTTAAAAAAAAAAAAAAGTTTCTTCCCCTGATCCTTCAGCACTTACCCACCTACTAAGCTCATTAGTTTCAGCCTCCTCCTTAAACTAGCTATTCAAGGCTACTTTAGAACAGGGTGAACCAACAGTGCCTCTTCTGCCCTAATTTGCTCCACATCAACTCCTCATTTGCTCAACATCATCTCCACACAGAAATTCTTCTTAAGCATGTACAGTCATATGCAGATCTACTCCATAATAGGGCACTGATTGCTGAGAAACTGGGTGTTCTTTGGGAAAAACAGCACACCACAAGCTGAGGATCCCACATTGTGCCCATTGCAATCCTACCTGCCACACTGGCACCAGCTCCCTGTCTGCTTCACTCTCAAGCCCCTCACCAGCAGGAGTTTCACTCACTCTCGGGCTGTAACATCAACATTCATCTGTTCTTGTGCCACTCCATGCACTAAAACAGAGCTACCAGAGAAACAACTGGCCTCCATCTTGGCTTCATGGGTGCTGTTCCACTCTGTGCCTTGGTAATGGTTATTCCTTTAGCTACAGCTGGCCTCATGCTTGCTTTTTCCATCCCTAGGATTATCAGAAAATGTTAAAGCTCATCTCATTCCACCCCCACCATGGACAGGGACACCTTCCACTGTCCAAGGAGGCTCCAAGCCCTGTCCAACCTGTCCTTGGACACTGCCAGGGATCCAGGGGCAGCCACAGCTGCTCTGGGTACACTGTGCCAAGCCTGCCCACCCTCATAGCCAAGAATTTTTCCCAATAGCCCATCTATCCCTGCCCACTGTCAGTGAGAAGCTGTTCCCCCTTGTCCTATCCCTCCATCCCTTGTCCAAAGTACCTCTCCAGCTCTCTCAGGAGTCCCTTTAGGCACTGGAAAGGGTTCTAAGGTCTCCACAGAGCCTCCTCCTCTCCAGGTGAACAATCCCAGCCGTGCCAGCCTTTCCTGCCAGCAGAGCTGCTCCATCCTCTGCTCATCCTGGAGCCTCCTCTGGCCTGGCTCCAGCAGCTCCAGCTCCTCCTGGGCTGGGACAGGGCTGGGGCAGCTCTGCAGCTGGGGGCTCACTCGAACAGGAGGTGGAGAATCCCTGCCCTTGATCTGCTGCCCACAGTGCTTCGGATAAGCCCGCGATACAGGCACTGATCCCTGAATTTAAAGCCTTTCAGAAGAGGCTCTTGGGAGTCTAACTGATTAATAACTAGCTGTCTTCTAAATTAGAGAAATTGTAACAGAAGGGAACGTCAGACTGGGGGAGAATTTCACTTTGCAAACTGTGTTAGTTTAGGTCTGTGTATTGAATAATTTCTATCACTTCACAAACCATGGGGAAAAAGGTTACTCCTTTAATTAGACCAGAGATATTTATAAACACATATCAAAGGACTAACAGATGTTTTCTGTAGTACATCTGGGATTAACAAGCAAAAATATGTAATCATATTGAGAGAAAAGGTAGCTAGCTCTTTAAATCCTTCAGTCACAAGGCATTATGAATCATATTTAAGTATCAGATTTGCCAACAGAAGAGTCTGGACTAACCTTCTGCACACCAGAAATCACAGTTACACCCATTCTCACCCTGACTAGCAGATAAGGAGTCTCAGTCACTAGAGGAGAACAATCCCACTTCCAGTTGCAGTGACCTCATTCCTCCTGCAACTCCTCCACCTCAGTAAATCCATCTGCACCCAGTTCTGCTCCGTGACACAGCAGGCCACTCTCACAGCTTGTCTTTCCAGAGGAGCTCATCCAGTCAGGGTGCTAGCATACAATTTTGTGGTAGCTCTATTTTAAATCTCATTTTCTGGATTAAAATAGTATGGAGTTAAAAGTAGCAATTATCAAACATCTGCACTTTCTCTAAAGCTGCAATGCTGTTTAACCAACAGAGCAGCTATAAACTCACTGAATGGAGCTGTTCCAGATTAGCTGTAGAACAGTTCGGGTGAATTCCCAGAGCAGTAACGGATCCCATTCCTCAAGGTCATACTCTCAACACTGAAGTTCTGCAGCACAAGCTTTTCAGTGATGTCAGTTAAGGCACAACAGCAGGAAGCCCCATCCGAAGAAGCATCCAAGGCCAGCGTAGAAGGGCTCAGAGCAGGTGCAGGGTTTCCCTGCAGGTGCCTCAGGAAGGTGTCCCTGCCCATGGCAGCACAATGGAACCAGAGCTTTAAGGTCTCTTTCAACCCAAACCAGTCTGTGACTCATCATTATGCTGAGTGACTGTCTCATAAGGTACTTTCCTAACAAAATGACACTCAGTCCTCTTTAATTCATCACGTTTCCTTTGTGTCCAGCAAATCTGAGAGAAACCAGTAAAACAGAACCCAGCAAGTCCTGAACAGAAGCACCACGGCCACGTGGGCCTTTGCTCCAGAGCAGCCCCATTGCCCACCTATTACAAGCAGGCTGGTTTGGCCACTCAGTATTTTTGTGATCTTAGCTAATTCTCTGCATAAGAAAGGTCATTTAGAAATCAAACAGTAACAGCAGATGTAAATTCAAGGCAGGCCTGAAGTCCCACAAAAGTGTATTTCCAGCTCATAAACATTTCTGCTTAATCTGGATTCCTTTGCAAGATCAGTTTCTGTATCTTACAGCTGCAGAAAGAAGATATTCATGCTGCTGAAAAAACACAAATTACTCTTCTATTACATCTTCCAGTTAAATTTATTAGACCAACAGAAGCCCTATGAAGAAGCTGCACCTTAAGGTCTGTCCTGACACATATCAGCACAGAAATGCTGATGTTTCAAAGCCTGAAAATCAATTGTGAGGAAAGTATTTACATTTGTATTTTAAAGCATCGATTTGAGCATGGGATTTCTAATCTCTGCCCACTGCGCTCCCCCCGGCCACCTTGTATAAACTTTAAATCTCCGATGCAGAGGCCTATTATTAGAGCTGGCTGAAAAAAAAAACTGTAAAGACTGAAGGCACATTGTTTGTTATGGAAAAGGTTAGGGCAAAGCCTTTCTAAAAACAAAACCTACTAAACCTTTGTTTCTGCTGAGAAAAGTCAAAACATTTCCGTGATGTTTTAGAAATTGCTTCTTTGAAAATGATGAACAGTGACTCAACATCAAAGTATGTCCTTTCAAACAATATGTTTCGATTCAGAAGGGTGAAATAAGTACAACAAAACACTTAATATGGCCTTGCTGCCCCGAGACAGAGCCAAGGCTACACCTAGCGTAAAATGAGCTGGGCTTTCACCTTCATCAACACAATCCTGCTTACAAACCAACCCAGGAACTGAAATAAACAATCCCAGAGCCTGCTGTAGACAGCGGGACTGAGGAGTGCAGCCTCTCCCACCTCCCCAGACTCGGTGCAGGAGAAAAACAGGAAACCATTAACTAGAGCACAAGTGACTGAAGCACCCAAAAAACACCTTCTGTACAACTCTCATCCCAAAAAAACAATGGACAAAGCCAAACAAAAGGGGAAGAGCAGCAAAGAGCTCCCAGAGCAGTTCAATACAGATAGTCCAGATACGCCTGGAGTCATAACTCCGAAAGCTGTGCTGAGGACGCGGCCATGGGGCTCTCAGCCCAGCGGGGCGAGGGAACGATCGATGACCCTCGCCAGAAGACATCTCCCGGGCACGACTGGCGAGCAAGGGCACACAGGCCTTGCTCACTTCTGACTCGTCACTAAACATAACTGGAACACACACTTTCCTGCAAACTTTCGGTCTGAAGGATTTTAGGCGTTTTGAACTGGCAGGAACAATGAATAACAGGCGGGTGACCCACGCTACGCAGGGAACCCAGGGCCACAGGCAGCAGACACAGGGGCTGCACATAACCCAGGAGCGGATGCGCTCTCCCTTCTTTTTGTTCGGGAAAAAGTAGCACGAAACTTTCTGTCAGCGAAGGAGAGGCCCACGCCCTCCAGCAGAGGAGGGGATTAGCGGTGGGTGTCAGAAAACGTGGCGGAGCCAGGTGGGGCCGCGGGGTGTTCCCGGCTGTCCGTGTATGGGAGCAGCAGCACGGCCGGGGCTGGAGGAGGGCTCGCTCCCTGGGCAGACCGCGGCCGCAAGGCACGGAGCGCTGCCAGGGGCTCCTGCCGCGCCGGCCCGACCGCAGCCGGGGAGCGGCGCCAGGGCGGCCCCGGCCGCGCGGGGAGGGGCCTGGACACCGCCCCGCCGCACCGAAACTTCGCCGGGAGCGGCCCGGCCGCGCTGCTCGCCCGGCGGAACGCGCCGGCGGCCCCCAGCACCGCGGGCCGCTCCCACACCGGCCCCGCCGCTCGGGGCAGCGCCGCCGCCACGGCCGGGCCCGGCTCCCTCCCCACGCGCGGCCCGCTCCGCTCCCGCCTCTGCCCCCCGCCCCAGCCCCGCGGCAGCACGGCCCGGCTGGCGCCCGAAAGTTTCCAAGTGTGAGAAGCGCAACTTTACCGGGCAGAGCTGAGCTGGGATGGTGCGGCCGCCCTGGCTGCGCTCGGCCCCGCCGCTTTGTCCCGTCCCGCGGAGGAAATGGGCTCTTCCGGCGCCTCCCCGCCCGGCCCGGCCGCTCTTCCCGGCACCGCCCGCCGCGCCGCCCCCGCGCCCTGCCGGCGCCGCCCGCCCGCAGGTGAGGGACGGCGGGACCGGGCCGGACCGGGCGGGACCGGGCCGGGCACGGCGGGAGACGGCGGGACCGGGCCGGGCTCAGCGGAACCGGGCGGGACAGGGCGGGACCGGGCCGGGCACGGTGGGACACGGCGGAACCGGGCCGGGCTCGGCTCGGCGGGACACGGCGGGACCGGGCGGGACCGGGCCGGGCTCGGTGGGACAGGGCGGGACACGGCGGGACCGGGCTGGACACGGCGGGACCGGGCCGGGCTCGGCGGGACCGGGCGGGACCGGGCCGGACCCGGCGGAACCGGGCGGAACCGGGCCGGGCTCGGCGGGACACGGCGGGACCGGGCCGGGCTCGGCGGGACACGGCGGAACCGGGACGGGCACGGCGGGACACGGCGGAACCGGGACGGGCACGGCGGGACCGGGCGGGACAGGGCCGGGATCGGCGGGACACGGCGGGACCGGGCCGGGCTCGGTGGGACACGGCGGGACCGGGCGGGACCGGGCCGGGCTCGGTGGGACACGGCGGAACCGGGCGGGACCGGGCCGGGCACGGCGGGACCAGGCCGGGCTCGGCAGGACAGGGCGGGACACGGTGGGACCGGGCCGGGCTCGGCGGGACCCCCTCACCCCGGGCAGGACGGGGGCTTCCCTCAGCCCGGGCAGGACGTGATGGGTTCCCTCAGCCCGGGCAGGACCGGGGGGTTCCCTCAGCCCGGGCAGGACCGGGGGGTTCCCTCAGCCCGGGCAGGACCGGGGGGTTCCCTCAGCCCGGGCAGGACCGGGGGGTTCCCTCAGCCCGGGCAGGACCGGGGGGTTCCCTCACCCCGGGCAGGACGGGGAGGTTCCCTCACCCCGGGCAGGACGGGGGGTTCCCTCAGCCCGGGCAGGACGGGGGGTTCCCTCAGCCCGGGCAGGACGGGGGGTTCCCTCAGCCCGGGCAGGACGGGGGATTCCCTCAGCCCGGGCAGGACGGGGGGGTTCCCTCAGCCCGGGCAGGACCGGGGGGTTCCCTCAGCCCGGGCAGGACCGGGGGGTTCCCTCAGCCCGGGCAGGACGGGGGGTTCCCTCACCCCGGGCAGGACGGGGGGTTCCCTCAGCCCGGGCAGGACCGAGGGTCTTTGGAGAGAGGGGAGGTGATGGATGTAGGGGTTTGAAGGAAACAGGGAAAGTTATGGGTTCTCCCTGGGTTTCAGTATTGGTGTTTTGTTTTGAAAACCCAGATATTTTCACCCTCCAGAGAGCTGCTGCTTTTAGGAAACGCCTTGTTTTCATCCAGATGTCTCTAATAACAAGACTACAGGTGAGAGGAAATCCCAGAGTACAAGCAGGCCACAGGAACCCCTCTAAGAAGAGAGGAAGGTTTTGGGAACATCACCTTGACCTGCAGAGGCAGGTCTGCAGGTGGAGAAAGTTGTCTTTATGTGGCAATTTGTTTCAAAGTTTTCTTTGAAAAGTCTCAGTGAGCATTTTGTCTGAGAGAGTGACAAATTACTCTGAGACTTTCTGTGGTGTGTTTTGGGATGGTTTTTGATACAAATCTCGCCACAGAACTTGCACTTGTACTGGATTGTAAAGACGACTGAATAAATTGAATACATTCCATGACTCATTTGCCAGCACTTCTGCAATACCTGAATCTACACACTCCATCCTTTGTTATTAAGCAAAAAATAGAGAGATTGAGTAACCTGCAAGGAAGATTCATTCAAGGTATGTGACTGAGTGACAGGCTGGCCCGAGGTCAGTGTCACAGCACAGGTGACCACACTGTGGTCAGGACTGTGACTTTCCTCCAGATCCTGGTTCAATGGGATTTACAGGGCTGTGTTTCCCATCACTGCCATATTCCTACAAAACTTTCCTACAGGAAGACTCCTGCAAGGGAATTAGATTGCATTTTTCCTTCCTGCAGGTTTAATCCAAGAAAGGGATCCAAGACAAGGAAGTAAGCAGAGTACTGTTGTTTTATAATCCAGAAATAAAATAGGGATCAAGAGCCCAGCCTTGTCAGTGAGTGAAATTAGTCTAAAGAATGTGAGATCTGTAATTGTGAAACTGAGATACAGGTTATTAAAAAAAAAAAAAATACAAGTCTTCAGTGCCTCAGCAAACAGACTCTCCTATGGAAATATGTGGAAAACAGATTTCTTAACTTCATTGTGTTTCCTGCTTATACCAAACCATTAATATTTGGTGTCAATTGCACCAGGGATCCAAACTACTCATTTCTGTCTGTAGCATGCTCTCAGTAAAAATGGGAGTTTACACTTCAATAGCTTGCTTTCTTTCATTACTTGTTTTAATATCATGTTTTAGCCTCCTGTGGTGCCTTCCACATTCGGCAGTTCTCTGTGCCTCACATCCTTTCAGGACAAAATGTCAGATTAGAAAAAAATTCCTTTTTAAACCTACAGATTCCAAAGTAGAAGGCCTGAAGTTGTAGAGAATCACATGTTCTGCACTACACCACTGAAAAGTCAAGGGAAAAGTTGGAGATCAGCTGGCAGCTCTGTTGGTTCATGGAGCGAGTTAAAAGGCTCAGCAAACAAAACATAAAATTATGTAAAAATAGAGCCAGCTAGCTTGAGATTGGACTTTGTCTCTTAATTAACAGCTCTCTCTGAATCACAGCACTGGGCTCTGTCAACAAGACTGAAATGCAGGGAGTGTTCAGACAGGCACCCAGCAACAGTATCTCACACCTCCCATCCGGCCCATGTCATTGGCAGCTTGAAATCGAATGCATTTTCTGAAATGAGTTACAAGTGTTCTGCTTGGCCTCGAATCTTCCTGTAACAGTGTTTGTGGTTTTGTAATCCCATTTTCCTGGTGGTTTCTAAAATATTTTTCTTGCCTCTTTTCACTGGCGAAAACACAGGGGAGGACAGGGAGAGGGGCGAGGTGGCCACCCCGATCCTGGGGGAGGTTGTTTGTGTAGAATGAACAAACGCTCCCGTCCGGTGAGGACGATCCAAGGTGCAGCAGAGCAGAGCAGGGCTGGTGGCTGTGCACTCCTGGCAGCCTGGCCCTGTTCCTTAGGTGTGTGCACAAGAGCAATCCCTGGCCAGGGCCACCTGGAGATACCGTGTGGGTGTAGCCACCGCAAGGGAGCTGCATATTCCTGTAAATCCTGGGCTGGGTCTGTGTAGGAAAGGGATTGTTTATCTAGCACCTGCTGGAGCTCCGCTGTCTGCCAGTCTCAGTGTGTACGGGGTCTAAATGATGTGCCTCACCTGGAACTGGATTTTCTGTTTCTGTAACAATGCTGTTGAAGGGTAGTTTTTCCATTTCAAAATGTTTGTTTGGTCTCTGTGGTTTTGTGTTTGTTTTGGAGGATTTTTTTTAAGTGGTTTTGTTTAGTTATTTGCAAAAGATGTAAGCATTGCACCTCTCACGGCAGTTTCAAAGACAGGACTGCTGGAGCAGGAAGTGGTGAGGGGATTGAGAGGCATGACAGAAGGAAGGAAATAAAAAAATTAAAAAATGAGGAAAAGTAATACAGTGTCATAATGGTAAGATGAAGGTCCTGCTGGAGGGGCTGAATGGGCAGCAGGAACCAAGAGAGAGAGGAAAAAATCCAAATACTCTAAAGGAATCTCCAGGTTCAGCTAGCAGCTGGTTGAGGCTTTCACATGCTGATGTCATGCTGGGCGGTGGGGACAGCCCGAGGGCAGCTGTGCTGTGCCACCAGCTGTGTGACTGGAGCAGCAGTCACCCAGTCACCAGGCACAGCCCTGTCACCTCCTGTCCCTGGGCTGCCAGCAAGGCAGGAGCAGGGCAGGGACTCGCAAGCGTTGAGCTTTGCTGTAGGAGTCACCCCAAAATGCAGCCTCCCTCGAAGACTGGAGGCTCTGATGAAGTCAGGAATGTAGCAAAGGGACAGAATGAGGGCCTGGCACCAACTCCTGGGGGCTCTCCAGTGCTCATCTCAGTATTCCATGCAGCTGGGAGGCATCACCATTCCTATTCAGGGCTCGGACACATAAAGAACTAAGATTGTCTTGCAATATCCAGCTAAGAATGAGCATGTGTACAGCCAGAAACCAAATTCCAGTGTCCTGGGGCAATGCAATGGACTCTGGAAATGCTGGTATGTGGTGCTTCTGGGGAGACTGCAGGTACACAGCCTCAGCTGTGACTACAGCAGCTGCCTTGCTGAAATAAGCCTCAGTCAGGAGGAGAAGGGATTTACCAGTACACCTGCAGCTACACTGGGGCTCCCTGGCACTGCTGGCAGCGCAGGGATCAGACCCAGTTGATGCCTCTGGGATCAGCATTGGTTCTCTGGGAGCTGCAGCCACAGTGCTCCTGGTGCCAGGGCTGTGCTCCCCATCACTGCCACTCTCTCCAAGGAAAACCGTCTGCTAGAAACATGCCCCGGTTCCTAATCAAGAAGCCACTGGCTCCTAAGTGAAACACTCCCTTCCTGCACTGTCAAAGGGCCTCCAGAAAGAGAAGCAATCTATAGCACCAGCATGGCCAGGAGCACAGGGGCTGTGGCACGGAGCCTGTGCTGCCTGAAAAAAACAGGCAGAAACTGTAATGAGGGGAAATTATGCCATCCCAAAAGGCTCAGCATGAACTGAGTTCACTGGTTGCTGTTCTTAGCCCGAGTAGTTTGCATTCACCTCCAGGTTCGAACAGCCTTTGTGTAATAAACTGTCATAGCCCCGGAGAAGGGAACATTCAAAAAAGCACCCCGAGGCAATGCATAGCAGAAGCCTGAGAATCTTCCTGCATGAGTCACTGACCTCCACACACTGCATCTATTTCAGCCTTTAATTAATAATATTTTACACTTCTATGCCACTTTCCATCTGGAAAGGTCCGAAAAAGCTGTAAAGACTAAGGGGTGTACAGCACCATTGGAATGTGGTTCCTGTAGAGGTGGGACTGTGAGAGCTTAGCCAAGGGCACAGGGGAAAAAGGTTCTTCATGTTAAATGCAGCCTCTCTTACGTCACTGAGTGTTTCATATCTGTGGAGAACAGACAAAAAGATTTTCGTTTCTAAGGCACTGCTTGAGTAAATAACACTATCAATTGCTTTTGTAATCCAGGAGATTGCACTGTAATCCTGTGCAGAACAAGTGCTGGGTGATTTTGATTTGGGGTGTTAAAGGGTCACAACTTAAGCTACGAATTGAAATCATCATTGGATCAAGGCTTTCCCACCTCCTGATAATTTATTCCCAAATGTTAGACACAAAGCAGAAGCCAGTGGAGTGGAAACAAACCCCAAGCTGACAGCACCTTACCCTGTATCCGCAGCACCAAACCCTCGCACGTTCCCTGAAAGCTCAGCAGGATCGTGTGAGGCTTCAGCAAGGTCAAAACCAGCCCCAAGGAGCAAGTGGGGCAATGGAAAAAAACAGGAGGAAAGAGCCCTCCTGTCCCAAGGCTGACACAGCCCTCAAGGGGAGCCAGGGGGCTGAACCAGCACAAATCCCTTCATTTTTATTTCTAAATATGAAACAAGCCAAATCACTCTTCTCAGCAGATGAGCAGGACCTAGTTTGCATGAGGGCAACCTAAAGGACTGCTGGCCACAGCCGGCATCCCTCTTACTAAGTACTTGGCCAAAGTGAGCTGGGAGCACTTGACCACAAAGAGCTTTCAAAGGAATGTCAAATTTCTCTTTTTCTCAGTGTGATTCTAAACTATTTTTATCTGCCTCTTTCTGGAAGAGAGACACGGGCATTGTAAAAAGTTGTAAACTTTCATTACTTCCCGAGGAGAAATTGCAGAGAAATTACAGGCTAGTGCACTCTTTTTATGTCTCCTGCTCCAGGCACGTCGGCACTGCTGCATTCCAGTCTACCCCCAACACATTCCTCCCTGCGAGTCCTGTCCCCTCCCCGCTGCTGATGGACATTAATGACCTCCCTCGGTAATTAACACATTGGGCACCGCTGTCAGCATGAGATGAGTCCCCAGTGCTGGACAAGCACATTCTGTATGTGCAGGGTGGGATCAGTCCCGACTGCCCCTCCATGCCAGTGTGCCCCTTTGCACCTGAGCTGCACCTGAGCTGCACCTGAGCTGCACCTGAGCTGCGCCCGAGCTGCCCCTGAACTGCCCCTGAGCTGCACCTGAGCTGCGCCTGAGCTGCGCCCGCCCCCTTTGCCCGCTGAGTGCAGGGCAGTGGGGGCACACGGAGCCTGTGGCTGCACCATTCCTGCTGTTCCCCGTGGGAACACCTGAACTCGCACATGCCATGTGGGGCTCCTCACTGCTCCTCCAGGCACGCAAAGCTGTGTGGAGAAACACCCGTAATCCTTGTTTCAGCATCATGAGGAAGTGCCGGTAGCAGATATGAATTATCCCTCTCCCATAAAGACAAACACCTACAAGTAGTCTCTATACTGTTGTAGGATCAGGGAGACTGAGGCAGAGCAAATGAGTGCTCCAATCCCTGCAGCTCCTGCCCCAAGCTCATCTCCCTGCCATTGGGTCCAATCACTGTCTGCAGTGCACCAGAGCTCCCTGAGCCTGCAAATCCCACACCCATGTGGCTTTTTAGCCATGGAAACTTCATCCAAAGGGAGAAATTCTGTCGTCAAGGTGAAAAGCATTGCTACTGAAATGTGATCAAAGAGAGAGTTATCAACTTAAGTGTACTCAGGAGTTTCTGTTCCAGACAGAAGTATCAATGAGAAACCAATCTTATAAGGTAGCTGCTATTGATAGGGAAATAAAAGGAATACAGTTCTTACCAGACAGACCTAAGTTGCTCCAAATTGCTGTCAGCTTGAAATATCTTGCTGGTAATTTGTTTCCAAATTCTTTCTCCCTAAATTTGATTTGTTGCTGTACAGTGGATGATCTATTCTGCACAGCACCTCAAAGAGCATTCCCGTTGTCCTCTCCCTGATTGTTTGTGAGCTATCACTTCTGGGAGTTGGCAGCCTTTATTATAAAAAGGGACATCATTGCTTGAAAAGCAGACTTTTGTCTGAGGCTGCCCTTACAAATAGCAGCTGAGATTACTGGGAGGAAAGTCATCAAGGAAAAGACACTTTTCCTCCCCACTTTGGGCTTGTCCACATGGACAAGCGGCCACTCTGTGTCTGTACCCTGGGGCAGGGGAAGGATGGGGCAGCATTTTCTAACAGGATGTGAATAAATCTTTTCACCAGGATCCCTTTTAACCAGGATTAAATCTCACCTCCTGTGGTACTGTAGCAAGCAGGAACATCACACCCAGCAACTTTTTTCTGCTGATCTCTGTTCTTTCTTATGTGAGGGAGGAAGAGAGAACTCTGACTTATGAAGTATCCTGCTGGGTTCAGTGATGTCTCCTACACGGTGTGTCCGGGGCTTTCCCAGGCCTCTGAGCAATCGCCCTCAGCTCTCCAGAGGATTTATTTCTGCACACTTGACACAGAGGCAGAAATGTGAAACTCCACCTCACCTCTCCATCAGGATGCGTCCAGCCTGTCTGTGGGTGACAATGAGGAGAGCAGTAGCCTTGCCCTGGCTTTCTCTTTCAAGAATATAAATGTGTCTTCTCCTGTCCTTTCTCTGCTTAACCCTCTCTGTCCAATGGTTTAAGCAAATTCTAGTCTGGGGACGAGAAGCTGCCTTAGCTTATTTACACGGTTTTAAGGTGTGGGCAGAACAGGGAGACTTGGCATCCCAGAAATAAAGGCCTTTACTCATCTTGTGTATATGGCCACATTAGATAAAAAGAAATAAGGTATTTCTGGGAATGTATGGGCAATTATAGCATATTTCTGCTCTCCAGAAGTACCCATATTGACATTGCTGTGGGTAGGGCACTGCAGGCACCATGTCAGGCACTTCAGCTCACCCCAAGAGCTTGTGCTGCACATTGGACAGGTCTTGGTGCTATGCAGAGAATGGAGAGAACAGGAGAGTTGGGAGCTGGTGGAAGGATTTCACTCTACCCACGCAGGCACTGGAAAATTAATAATTGTTGCACATGCTCGAGAGCAGCACAAAACACAGTGCTAATTCAGCTGGCTGTAATTTTGCCACACAGTTTACTCTGACATCACATCAGGGAGAGCTCCACTTAAGCAATTGTAACATCACTGAAAGGATGGAATTAAGAAAAAAGGAGAAGGAACATAAACCTCCCACTATTGTTATTTTCAGAAAGCAATAACAGGAAGAGCCAGTTAAAAGGCCTTGAGGCTCTGAGCTGTTATTCCTCCCTGGAAACCAGCCACGTAATACACAGGAAAACCCTGGATTGTGTGTGGGGGCTGCTCTGTGCCCACCACAGGGATGTGGGCCCATTCCTGGGGCACATGAGCACATTCCCATGGGCAGGGCCCCCCTCCCCACCCCACCTGTGGCCACCCTGGGCATTTTGTCTGCTGTGGGATACCCTGGGCAGCCAATCCTCCAGCTGCTCCAGAGAAGCTTCTCCCAGGTGCCACTGGCAGGGCTGGAACACCTCTGTCTCCCCACACACAGGTATTGCAGCAGGGCTGCTCAGGAACCAGCAATTTTTCCTCTTTGCAGGAGCAGGCTGAGCCTTTCTGAGGTGACCGAATGCAGGTGTCAAGCAGGCAGGAGCAGCAGAAATCAATCTCTCACTGCTTAAAAATATATCTGTATACCAGATCTGAACCCTTTCCTCCAGAGTCTTGTGGCAGAAATGGAGTTTTAAAATGCTCAATTATTTATAGCTGAAATGCTGGGGAAAAAAAATAACCTCATTTGTCGTGCTGGAGCAGAACGTGCTGGTCCCCATCACCCACTGCTTGCACAATGCCTGAGAGTCATGAGATCTGGGCAGGGGGATGAGGAACAAGGAGCAAGGAGTGCCTGAAAGCAAGGTGCCAGCGCCCCAAAGAAGAGCCAGTTCACTCAGACATGGTCAAACCCAAATCACGACAAGTCTGAGGTGTCCCAAGCGCTGCTTTCAAGCCTGGGTGTTAATTATCACCAATTAGGTGGGGTGGGTGGTTCCTTAAGTACAGGCTTCTCCTGGCAAATGGGGACAGGTTTTGTAGATAGACCCACAGATGCTGTGTGGAAGGGGTGCTTTGGAGAATTAACAGCTTTTTAGGAGGGAACCTGTGGGAGTTCCTCCAGAGGAGGACTGTCTGCCTAAACTTGCTTTTGGTTTTCTTTCACTGTGTCTTGGCAGAGCTGCTGCTTGTCAAGGGCCTGGCATGGGGAATGGGCACTGCAGGTCCCTGCCTGGTGAAAGGACACATCACAAACTGCAGTCACACATGACAGGAAAAGCAGCAAGAGGAGGGGAAAGGGAAAGCAAAAGTCAGAGACCAGGGGATGTAAAGACATCAAGTGTCACATGGCTTCTGGACGGGGAATTTGAAGAATTTTCCATGGCTTTAGAGCAGAATAGAATCATTACAGCTCTGTAGAGCCTTTCTCCCTTACTGAGTTCCTCACTGGTGCCCAATGCTCATAGAAAGGCAGGAGTATGGGGACAATGAATTGGAGAGATGGTTTGGAGCCCAATTAAGTACCTTCATTTGTGTGATTTTATCCAGAAGGTGAGAACCACCACCCCTTCTCCCTGCTCCCTCCTGGGGAACAGACTTCATTTTCCCTGTCCTGGAGAACATGGGCATTAGGAGGGCTCTGAAATCCCTCTGCCTTGCACTCAGCTGCTTTGTGGTGCGTTGCACTGAGCAGTGGTTAAAAACCTCAGGGATGATGAGGAAAGTGCCTGTAACCATGGCAATGCTCTGCAGCCACATTCTCCCCCCCTGCAGCCCTGCCCAGAGGACCTGGAGCCACCCCTTGTCCTGTAGCAAGCAGGAACGGGTCCCACCACCTGCATCACCTCTCCCTGAGTTACAGATGAGCAACGAGATGGTTGGCTCTCACAATCAAGGGGTGAACGTTATATGTACGCCAAGAGAAGTTTTGTAGATGTATAGTTGTGTTACTGTAATGTGTCCTCCCCCTTGCATTATTATGGGATGGCCTTGGTACTCGGGGCATTTGGGAGGGTTGGCTTGTTACTATGGTAACACCTGACCTCCGACCAAGGTGTGAGAAAGTGATCTCCACCACTGGGCAGCAAGGAAGGAGTCACTGACAAGACTTTAGGAGGGGCTAGAGGTATAAAAGGGGGAGCATCCATTTTTAATAAAATTTTAAAAAGTGAGCAGTTGTTTCACAGGGGTTAAGGACAAAGGTGCCCTAAGAGGATCTTCATGAAAGGACATTTTGTTTGAGCTTTGAGACAAGACTTGGCCTGTCCCTGGGAGCATCACCTGTCTCTGAAGACTTTGTTCCTTCTCACATGCAGGAGATTTTGGGCCACATCATGCAGTGAAACCAGTAAAAGTTACAGCATTTGACTGCTGAGGAACTGGTGGCTTGGCCTTCAATTAGGATAAAGCTGTTTAATTCCTTCCCACCTCAGTGCTACCTTCCTGCACAGCCCCGTTAGTGAGGCTGGCATACAGAATGTTAGGGATTAATGAGACAGGTGATTAAATACAGTCCTGATTACATCCAACCCCGGGAGGATGGATGTGGAACTGCCCTGCTGTGAATTAAGTAATAAAGTGGGAAAAGGTAGAAAACATAGCAGGGCAGTGGTTCTATTTCATTAACCCCCTCATGCCTGCCAGTGCTGGCACCTCTGCCCAGTGCAGGTGTGATTGCAATGTGATTTTGGGACCCTGGGCACATCTGGCCCTCAGCCAGAGCCAGGGACAGGTGCTTGTACCAGGACCAGCAACACCGTCAGGAGGGAGAAACAGGAAAAAAGCAGCTGTGCATGGAACTACTGCCACCTCCTTGTGCTGATATTCAGAATAAAAATCCCATCGTTGCCACACTTTCACCCTAGCACCTCCTCTGAGCAGTGTAGCTGATTCCTGGGGGATGGTGCAACAGGTACCTTGTGGTGCAGAGCAGCAGCACATATTTTTAGGACAGACAGATTCCAACAGTACCTCCATGCCTTTGCAGAAGCTATCCAAAATCCTGTGGAAGTCTGAAAGTAGGGAGGTTGGGAAGAGCGATAGTCAAGACCTTCCAGCAAGAGCACTTTAAATCAATGGCTCTAAAAGGGCAGTGGCAGCCAGCACCATTATCCCCTCCTTACAGACGGGAAAACCAAGGAAATTATTTGCCTTGTGTAACCCAGAAGTGTTGGGAATGCAGCAAGATCCCAGACCAGGGGAATCTCAGCTCCTGGGCATAAGTGAGTCCTCAGATGTCAGCACCAAAGGCTATAAAACCTGAGCCCTGCTGGCAGGTGCACTTGGGGATGTCTCAGTGCTGGCAGGTCTGACAGGCAGTTCAGGCTGCCCAGCCCTAGGCCCTCTGCTTCACTTTTATCCCTTCCAAGGATAAAAGCTTCCCGTGAGCACCACTAAGATCTCTGAGAGCAGATAACTCCAAGCCATCCATCTGCCTGCAGGCACAGAGCGCAGAGCCCCCTCCGGGCAGGGGCTCTGAAAATTCTGCCTTTGTGCTCTCCCAAACCTCCTGCTGCTGACCACAAAACGGCCGAGTCTTGACTGCACAGCCCCTGGAGTTCAAATTCCCATTTTTTGCCTGGCACTGGGGCACTTTACCCACACCCTCCTCCTGCTGCCAGCTCTAACGCAGTTACAGAGGAGCATTCAGCCCACTCAGGAGCAGAGCAGCCCACTTGTAAACTTAATAGTACTTGAGGTTTGCTCAGAGTTCATGCCCCAGGTTGCAGTTAGATGGAGTGAAGGAGTCCCAAGTGCTTCTGATGGATATAAAAAGGATATGCAATCAGATGTGCACTTAAGCAAGTATATTACCAAGTTAAATGACTACAGTTTTACTAAGCTAATTAAAAATGGAACAAAGTGATGATCAGATTAAGGTCATAATTAATAACTCTATAGGTTCAAATTATCCAGTCACCCAATAAATTCTCCATGTAATCAGAGAGAGCCACAGCTGATAACTTGAGGGAATTCGTGTCCTACTCAGAGGTCTTCAGGAGGCAAGAGCTGCCTTAGGAGCAGTGACCTCAGCTCTGAGGTTATGTGCTAACCCTGCTGCCCAGCAGACTTTCCCTGAGGCTCCTGTGTCTATTCCAGGTTGCCTCCTCCAAGGGAAGTGAGTGGACTGAGGAGGGGTCCCCACCTCCTGAGAAATCAGGGCAGAGTGGTGTCTTGCCATGGTTTGTCTGGTTTTTAGCAGGGATGAAGCTTTCTACAGAGCCCAGCATTTGGTTTGTGCTATATTTGCACTTGGTGGTTTAAGACCCTCTCTTTGGGTGCTCTCCAAGCGGTTGAGCTCTGACATCCTCCACCAGCTGATGCCAGGCCCTTGGGTACCCAACTGATGGGGACAGAGAGGCTGCCCAGCGCCTCCCTGATACTTCCCCAGCTCCTCATTAGCTCCTGCCAATGCCCAGCGTGCTGCTCTCTGTGTTGGGATTTGGATTCTTTCCATCCTCAATGCCCAGGATTTGGCCAAGTTAATGTTTTAAGAGGGTTGTTTGTCTTCTTGTTGCTCAGAGCCTGGAATAGCTGTAAGAGAAGGAGAGTTTGCCAATTATATTATCCTATTGTTAATTATCTTAATTATGAGTATGCTGCTAGGTGACATCTCCCCTGGAGTCTTGTGCTGCAGCGTTCAGGTCCTGAATCCCTGGGGTCTGCACATGGAGACCCATCCAGACCCTTTCTGGGGCTCACAAGCAGTGGGAAATGAGCCCTGAGAGATGCAGGGAGAGCTGCATCACCCAAAAGACTTCCCAAAGCAGAGGGAAAGCTGCGAGATGGGGATGCTGAGGGTGCTGGGGACACCTTTGTGCCAGGACTCCCTGAAGCTGAGACTGGGGATACATGCAGCACCCCAGTGGATTTCTGATGGATTCAGGGGAAATTGGAAAGGTCCCCTCTGGTTCTCCTCCACCCACAGCCCTGGGGCAGCTCTGGCTGGTTCCCTTCCCTCCCAGACTGTTTCATAGCCTGAAGCTGCTGTTTACAAAAAGCAAATGTTTTACCGTTGGCTAATCCGCCTTGTTTGCAAAAGCCCTGAAGGCTCATTTTAATTGCAAGTAAATGATTCTTAATGATATAAATCAGAGCCAGGGAGTGTTTGTGATATCTTGCACTGTAACCAGGAGTCAAGAAAAGAATTAGTCTCAAATTGAAAAGGGGAAGGTTTCCATCTGAAATTGGGCAAATATGAGGCTTCATCAAGGAAAGATAATCACTTGGCGGGATAATAATGAGGCTTCAGCTTATCAGTTTTGCATGGAGAATCCTTAATACGCCTGTAGTGTGGTTTGCTGCCATGAGCAGTGTGAGAGACGGCTCAATAAGAAAGGTAATGGAGAGAGAAGAGCTGTGGCAGCCCTCAGCTATTCCCCAGCCCAGAGGCTCAGGCCCACCTGGCTTCAAAAAAAAAAAATCAGGAAAATGGAAGCAGATCACACAGGTGACAAAGTGTCTGGCTGAGCAGCAAGGCTCTGCTTTGGTGGGTGCCCCTCTTGCTCTGCCAGCATGGCCCCAAACAGGGCTCCCAGCTCGCTCTCTACCAGGATCCTACCCGAGCTCCTGGGACCAGCAGGAGTTTTTCTGTTGGTCTCACTTCCAGCTGGATTAGCCCCAGACTGTGGATGTACAAAAGTGTGGGGACACGAGGTAGTTGAGGTCTGGCAGGTTTGGGGGTGCTCTCCCCATCCCACTCCTCTCCGGGAGGTTCCCCAGGGGTGAGGGATGGGCTCAGACTTGCAGACACTGGGCATCCCTTTCTCTCCCTCTGCCAGTGAGGACCCTCAGCCAGGACAGCATGGGAGAGCTCTTTGGGAAGCAGCTGGCACAGCTGGGATGTTCCTAAGTCAATGGGGGTCCCCCAAAGGGACAGGGATCCCCAAGGCCATCCTGGCCTAGAGACCAGGTGGGAAGCAGGACCAGCAGGATCTGCAGTGGGAGAGTTGTCACAGCAGAGCTGCTGGACCTGCTGGCCAAAGGGCTCTTGTGTCCTGCCTGCTGTGCCCAAATGGCAGCCAGTAATGTGTGTACAATTAGCAGTGGGCTGTAATTGCTGTCTGTAACCTCTTGGGCTGTCGGGAGGATAAACCCAGCTCAGAGAGCCCGGCGCTGGGCCAGGCTCTGGCTTTGCAGCCAGCAAGGCTGTGCCAGAGCCGAGCTGTGCCCTGACCCCCTGCTCAGAGCCCAGCACAAACACAGCTCCCCCGGAGCATCCCCCGGGCTGGGACAGGGGCTGACCCCAGAGAAGGGGCAGAGGCCGGGGCAGGGCTGGGGAGTGGGTGCAGCTGCTGCTGAGCAAAGCTCTGGGTTCATTACCAACCTTTTCAAAACCAGAGCTTAAAAATATCCCCCGCTCGCAGGGGCTGGCTCAGCTGCACGGCTGGTCCTCATCTCCCTCTCGGGATATAAATAGGCAGCAGTGAATAGCAGCGCTGGCCCAGCGCTTTTCACGCTGCTGCACAGGAGGGGACGGTGGCACCAGCTCCGTGGGTGGCTGGGGACATTGGCTGAGCAGCCTGGCCACGTCCCACCGAGCTGGGCTGAGGCTTCAGGTGTCACAACAGGAGCTGCTTCCAGCTCAAAGCAAATGCAACCAGGAGAGCAGCCAGCAAAAGAGGGGTGCAGTTTTGGGATGGGGATGAAGGAGGAGAACTGTCCCAGCTGGCTGGGATCTGCAAACCCCTCCTGGCCCCCCTGGGATGTACCCTGGGGACGGTGCTGGCAATGGGAGCTGCTTCTGGACAAGCTTGGCTTTTCTTTCACAAGGTCAGAGTCTTTTTGGGGAAATGGGTGATTTTGTGATAAATTTTGTGGCAAAATTATAAATTCTTTCACAAGGTCAAAGTCTTTTAGGGGAAATGGGTGATTTTGTGATAAATTTTGTGGCAAAATTATAAATTTACCATTTGTGAAAGAGCAGTCTCCTACAATATAGTCCTTTGGTGCGCTGGGTGAAGATGTTTCCACATCATGTGTCCTCCAGAAAACCCTGATATCAGAGCAGGAGGAGTACCCAGGATAGAAGGAAATAAATGCTAAAATAAAAGAAAAACTACTACTTTTCCTTTTTCAGCTTCTAATAAGAACCTGGTATTTAATAATGAAGTAGAGTCAGATGTCCAGATATGTTCGTATTAAATGAAAGGTGCAACTGTCTTTGCTTAATCCACAGTGCAGCTCTTAGACTAAACACAGGGCAAAAGATCTTAACACCTCTTCTGAACAAGTGGATGCTCTTGTTATTCTTCAGTGCAGCTGCAGCTTCTCTGTTCAGGAAGCTCCTCTACTGCTTCACCACAGTCTCCCCCAGACTAATCCCTCTGTCCTGCCAGGAATTCATCATTGCTCTCCACATTTCTAGAAGATGATCCATTACACAAAGGGAAGTGGAGGAAAAGCTCACATGAAGCCTGTCCCTTGGATGCAAATTATTCACAGTGCCACCAGGAGAGGCCATGAAATAACCCTGGTTGCTCGGTGGGCTGAGAGAAGCAGGAGGAAAAATTCATGCCTAAAGGCAAGGTGAAGAGTTTCTTGGCTGTAAATGATATTTTAAAATCAGCAATGAAGTCTCTTCTGGGAAAGGGTTGGGAAAATCTGCCACAAAGTGAGAAACCCCTCTTAGCTCCATCACTGTTTATCCAGGCTGGGGCTTGGCTGCAGAGAGCCACCAGTGATGGCTGTGGTGGCACACAGCTGTACTGGAGGTGCTGCTGAGCTGGGTGTCCATTTCACCTGGTGTCCCTCCAGGTCAGTGTCTCTGCTTGTGTCACTACCCAGAGGCTGGGGACAGCCTCCATGGGCTGATCTCTGCAGGATTCCCACAGCTGCACGGCAGCCTGGATGTTTGATCTTGCTTTGTCTCCTATTCCTTTCCACCAGCAGCAGAAATCTGTTCCATGTCCTCCTTGATTTGGAGGAGAAGGACATTTAATTGCCCCACTGTAAGGGTGTCTCCTTCCAGCACCTCTGCTAGAGAAAAGGGGATGCTCTGAGGCAGCTGCCTGCCTCAGTGGCCTAGGAGCTGTCATGAACACTCGCAACCACCCCTGTCGTGTTGGCCATGTCACTTACACCCTTTAAAAAGTCATTTTCTGTGGAAAATCTTCATCTCATAGCCATGACAATAAGGGAAAACTCAGTTTTGGACATCCCTGCTAGAGAGGGCAGAATCAGTACCCAGACTGGGAAAGGCTGTCCCAGGATCCTATACTGGGAAGGGCCACAAGCCCCTCCAAGGGCAGAGATGGCCTTTGCCTCTGTCCCCAGGCCAGAAAAAGCTGTGCCTCAGTGTGATTCCATGAGTCATCCCCAGCATGAGTCACTGCTCCCTGGGCTGTCATTTCGTTGGGAATGGGCTCTTGCTGGTTCCTCTGTAGCACACAGGGCAGGGTGGGAGCCAGAGCAGAGCGAGGGGACACTGCAGCCACTCTCCAGAGCAGATACCTCTCTTCCCAACTAAGGCACTGGGCCAAAATCAGCCCTGCCAGAGCGACTCTCCTTTGACTCTCCAGCTGCTCTCGGGGACCTGGAAATAGTGGTGACACTCCCCTTGTAAGCAGATTATTTCTGCTGGGTGCTGGGCTCTTTGTCTGCACACAGTCAGTCACTAATCACATCTTTTTGCCAGTTAACTTGGGATTTATCAGTCTGAGCCCTTGCCTTTATCAGATCTCAGCCTTGCTGGGCTGATGAGCATCTCTTACGCTTCCCAGGCTCCCTGGAAGATCTCTGCCACTTATTTGAAATGTGCTGAAATAATGCCAGGCTTGGTGAAACAGCCTCTCCTGGAAATCCCTGCAGCTCTGTGAGGTGGTCCCAGCTCAGTGCACAAATGGGAGGGAGTGACACCCAGAAGCTTCATGCCCACCGTGCCACAGCCCTGGGGGAACCCATCCCATCAAAACCTTCTCCCAGGGGATGCAGGGTGCTCACAGAGGACTGATACAGCTGCTGCAAGGGCCAGTGGGAGAGGAGAAAGCTGCTCCTGCAGCCCAGGCTGCCCTGTGCACAGTCCCCATGTGCACACACACTCTGTGTAGGACTCAGAGCTATCATTCCTCTTGCTGTGCCCCCAGTGATGCTCTGGTGCCCTCCGTGACAAGGTGATGCTCCCTGGCCCCAGGTCCTCAGCAGAGTGAGGTGAGGCCCTGTTTCATGGATAACCATTGAGGAGGTGGAGAAGGAGCTGCAGCTCAGCTCTGACTGCAGACCTCCTCCAGCCCAGGGTCACAGTGAGGCCACCAGCCCCACGTGTCCCCTGCCAGAGCCTCATCCACAGCAGCCCTGGCAGCACCAGTCAGGAGCTGCCATTTATTTTGCTGGCTCAGCAAGGTACCAGTGGCTCCCAGCACTGCATCTTCCCTCAGTAGGCCCTGGTGCCTGGCAAGCAGGTCCAGCAAGAGCTGGAGCTCTGCTTTGCACCCTGCAGCCTCTGGAAGTCCCATTTCTTCAGGTGGCTCCAATGGCTGTAGGGAATGAGCGCTGTGCTCACCCTGCCTCAGTGTCTCACGTGAGAAACAGAGATGAAAAGACCTTGGAACATGGCCAGGGAGCTGGGAAATTGGATGGGCTGTTTGAGAAGCACCTCAGAGAGCAATGCTGAGTGCCATGGGACAGCCCAGGAGGAGATCAATAGCCTGGGCTCCGCTGAGCAGTGCAAACCCAGGCACGGAGGGATTCTCACTGCCTGCACCCTTCACTTAGGGCCAGTCCCTGTGGCACTCAGGCAGAGCAGCGTGCAGGAATGGCTGGATCTCACCTCACCTGGGTGTTTTTTAGCTTGGCTGTGTCTGTCTCTGTGACTGAAGAAATCCTTTTACATAGGAGAGCACGTGGCTTCAGTGGGGGCATCCTCACAGCCAAGCCAGGGCTGGATACACTCTGGATGTTCCCTCTGCTGCAGGTACCAGCCACTGTGGGATGCAAAGGTTAACCAAACCCTGCTCAGCTTATCATCTTAACTCAAAATAAGCTGTTTCACAGAAAGCAGCTGGGTGTGTGGAGTGAAACTCATCACTCCAGGGATGCTCAATGCTGCTGAAGCCAATTTTAGGAGTAAATATGTATTTTTAATGTATTTCTTTTTATGAAGCAGAAAAGTGACATGGCTGGATGGTGGAGAACTTACCTGAGCTAATGGCCCAGCTGGAGCTCTTCCAAGCAGTCTGTTTAAAGAAATGGATAGTTTGGGGCTTAGCTCAGGCTTTAAATGCTTTTAAATAGATCTGTGCTGTTTTCCTGCTGTCCCTGTCCCTGCCACGGTGAAGGAGATGGGTTCTGCTGGGCTGGCTCCTGCTTAGGTGGGAGAAGTCCAGAAGAGACTGAAGTGGATCTGGCAGAGGGCTTGCTCCTCTGAACAATGTGTGATGCACAGTGCAGGAAATGCCACCAGCTCCTGGCCTGTGTTTGCCCCCAAGGAAATGACTGTCCCTGCCAGGCAGAGACTGACCAGCTTATCATCTTCTCTGGGTGCTTGGAGTGGGATCTGGGGCTCTACATGAAGTTTTGAGACCCCACTGTGGCTTCTCAGCAGCTCTGAGCCTCTGCCCAAAGGAGGGAGCAGCACTGCCAGTGACCCAGAGTGGTAATTAGCCTTTTCATTTGGGTACTGCCACAGCCAGGCCAGTCCATGAGCTGTGTGATATTCTGCCAGGTCTGACACACATTGGGAGGTTATTCAAATGCCAGCAGCTCCTGTTGGAGCTGGAGAAGTTCCTTCTCTCTCAGCTGGAGAAAAGCCTGTCACCAGCTCAGATGCCTGATCCCAGGCTCCAGGCTGCCATGCCCTCTCCTCTGATCTGGCCCAGACCTCTTGCCTCCTGCAAGGACTTCTTGTTCCCGAGCAGCTCAGGGCAGCTCCTCTCTCGATTGCTGGAGTGGAGGCGACAGCTCTGAGGCAGCAGAGCTCTGCCCCCACGCTGGCCTTGGGGAACTGAGGCACAGAGCGCTGGCCAGCCACGTGCCTGAGCTTTTCAGGAGAGTGCTGGGCATTTGCTTGGAGAAATCTCTCCAAACATCGTGGAAAAGGTGAATTTTGGAGCTGTGCTTACACACATTAACATGGGGCCAAAATCTGGGCAGGCTCTGAACTTAGACCTGCATGAATGAGAGCGAGGTTTACTTCGATGGGGAGAGCAGTGCCCAGGGGATTCCTGGATGGAGCTGGTTGCACGTGGTGGGAACAGGCACCATTTCCCCATGGAAGAGAGCCCTGTGCAGGCACCAGAGTCAGCAGTGCTCCGTGTGACCTGTGAGGTGGCTTTTGGTGACACGACATGAACTTTGAGCCTCAGCGCTGATCTGATCACAGAGATGGGAGATGAAGGTGCTTCCTTAGAGAAAGCAGCTCTTCAGCTAAATTCCCCTGCAGGGCAGCGTCCAAACAGCTTCACAACCTTTTCAGTTGCATGACAGGCTTGAAAATAAAATTCCAGTAATGGATTTAGAGGAGCGTGCCTCTGTCCGGCGGGATGGTGAAGCAGTGCTGTGCTGTGCTGTGATCAGCTCCCTGACTCATGCTCTGATGTGGCTTCCAATTAGCTCTGGCTCAGGATCAGCTTTTCCTGCTGTGCTGGGAATAAAGGAGCCAGGATGAAAGGCCCTGGCCACATGCCAGGTGGGCTGGGGGCACGGGGGGAGCTTCCTGAGCCCCTCATGGAGGCCTGGCCAGTAGCTGGGTTCCCCCTTCTCCTTGGTGTGAGCTTTGTGTGTTCACCACTAGTCCACAAACCAACTCAGAAACTTACTAAAAAATAGAGTATTTTATATGTATTTCTAGATTATAGAAGCATTGTATCATAGAATCATGGACTGGTTTGGATTGGAAGGGAACTTAAAGCTCAGCTCATTCCATCCCTGCCATGGCAGGGACACCTCCCACTATGCCTGGCTGCTCCAAGCCTGTCC